GAAACTACGATTGGAAGAAGCAATGTGCTTTCTTTACTGCAGACTTTGCACCTTTGTGGTACCTAGTGGTGACTTGCAGGAATCCTGATTCCTCGGACATGTCACGCAGCACCTCATGCACATGCGCAAGATCACTAGACCTGCAACGGCCGTACAGAATTAAAAGCAAATGCGAAGCTGCTACGCGGTCTGCGATTGGCCTATCAAGGCCACAGCATACGGGCAATGTGCGTACCTCGCATACTGACACAGGTCTGGCTTGCCTAGTTATGGCTTTGGGTGCGAGTTGCAACTCTGCCATTCCCGTGATCCTTCGGCTCTCTACGCATAAAAGCGCCCCTGCTACTCCCAACATATGGTGGGCGAAGCGCAGTGCTTGAACAAAGGATTGGGCCTTGGTTGCTGCAGACTTGGTTGACATCAAATGCCGAAAGTACGCCCATACCTCAGATTCGTCGAATGGCAGAAAATCACCTGACAGGCTCAAGGAATACCATCGGAAAGAACGACAACATTGCATTCGCACGTTTCACAACGGTGTTTGGTGATTTGGCGCCAATCACTGCTAGTAAAATTTGATCTGTATCCTGAGGATCCGCAATGATCTGGGATCCGACTCTGCTTGCCCTGGGTTTCAAACGAAGTAGGAAATCAAGCTTGCTCAACGCATATTTCATGGTCCTGTCCCTAGACTGTTGAAAGGTTTCGTCTTTCAAGTTCTTAATGCACTTAGCTACAACCCAATGTTCGAACGGAGGCGGCGCAAGCACACTGTCCGTATGGACTTCTTGTTCAACAAGATTGGGGTCTATGCCCCAATCCAAAGGCATGCCTAGACTGACTGGCTTCATCGACTCGGCTCCAAAGATGGGATGGAACAGGTCGTTCTCCCAAGGCATCCTAATTGTCGAGGGCTTCACATCGTGAACGAACGACCATGTCAGGCCGGCAGCATCATCACTCTGAGAGCTAAGGCCACCTACATCAACACGTTGCTGAGAATGTGTCCTGTGAACTGAAGCTGACGAACCTGTTACAGCACCAAACATTTTGTGGCAACGAAGGAAGACAGGTATCAGAACCGACGGGCTGATCATCTGACGCGGAAAGCTCATCAAAGGAAACATGTTTCCTTTTCCGTGCGCTCCACCTTTTCCGAAAGCCCTTCGAAAACTCTCTGCCGTCCTGACCGAGATCAGCGTCATCTTGACCGCTGACATTTTCCATGGCTCATACCCCCCACAAGCTGCAATTTTAGTTACGAAAGCATGAACATTGTTGAGGACATTAACGTCTCTTTGAGAACATGTCATATCTCTATGGTTGGTTTAGCCACAAGTTGCTTATCTTAAAATATTCTCAGAAGCAAGAAGTAAGAGTGCACACACAGCACTCTTGTAGGGAGTGTACTGAGGGAATTTCTGATATATTTAAAACTTTTTGAGAAGTAAGAAGTAAGATTGCACAGAACTCTCCCAAAGAATCTTCTTCTTACTTCTGAGAAACTATCAACAAATTTTAGATTGTTCTGGAATTCTTTAAGTATCTATATATATGTACATATCTTCACTGTTTCTGGGGCAGCCGGAAATTAAGCGAACGCTAGCCGTTCGGTCTCGCTTATCTGGCAAAGGGGTGAGTGAATATTAAAAAGGCCTTGTCCTTCAAAGCTTTTTAGTGAAGGGGCGGGGCAATTACGTTCTATTTTTGTGAATGTCTTTCACGTCACTTGTGATGGCATAGCAGCATGCCCATCTCACATACTGACCACATTTTAGCCTCCTTGGATGTTGTTTTCCATGTCGCTTTGGCTTTATGGTTGGTGTTGCAATAGTTGTTGTGGCAAATTGATCGATGACGGCACTTGCTGTATTCTCAGGGGAGTTTTCTTTTTCCTTCATTACACATGTGTATTTCTAAGTGTTTCTCGCCCTACCTGTTGGCAGATTGATAAAGTCATCCAGTATGTCTTGCGCGCTTCTATCTTTTCAAGTAGTGCCACTTCTATAGTAGTGTATCTTATACTCATATACTTGTTTTACAGAAGCCAACAGGGCTCGTGTAGGCATTGGTTAAATCCCATTTGCCCTCTACTCTCGTTTATTGCTTGTGTCCTTTCTCCTTTATAAAGTGTTGCATTCTGGGTAACATGTCCATTCAGGTTTCTTGCAAAATCATTTGTTGTAGTCCAAACTGTATTCTCGACATCTGCATTACGTTGTTCTTTCTCATTCCTGTTTGTTGCAAGTTCCCTCTGTATCTTCTAGTAGTACCAGCACCTGCTTGAGCAAGTCTTTGATCAATTCGTCTTGTTGACTTTTCGGTGATATATTCTAAAGTGCTTCTCCGTTCTTGATTTATCTTTGTCCGGCTAATTTCTTCCATTCCTTCTCTGCGTGCCTGAGTAGCAACAAAACCTTGCTATATTCCCTCCTATTCCTAGTTGTGCACAAAAAACTAAGGACACATTAGGAGCAATCCACTTGTGTATAAAAGGGTTTTCGCAAATTTACAATTCAGACTGTCCGAATTTCCAACCAAGGTCATTTTCAGACTTCATATAGAGTTGGTTGAACATATAATGAACATACAGAACTACCTGCCAACTCCAAGTGTTGGATCACAGAAATGTCTATCCCCACCACATGTCAAGCAACATAAGTTGTCTTCTTTGAAAAGCGGTATTATATGTTGCCAATAGCAATTTGTTAAGAAATTGCATCATAGATTCATCTAATTAAACAAAATTTGCCGAACTGGAAGCATATGCGCAGATGTATATGTATATACAGAGGCTCATCTAGCCTGAACCGGGTGTCCTCCAAATAGCGAGTGGGTGTCCAAATTTCTACCCGTCCGGTAAACTCCAAAGCACAAGCTGGCAGCTTTTTCCACGGACTCGCAGAATTTGCTGCAATTTGCAAACAATCAGCACTTGCACGCATCACGTGGCATCCCATTCAAAACCATAATGATAGCAAATAGCACCAAGTTCAATTACCAGGCTCCATGCGCACATTGCAACCAAGGTTAGCAGGTCAAAAGGTTGAACGTTCGCTTATGCTATTTTTCACTTTGATCGTCCATGTGACGCGATATTGTCCCCCCGCTACCACATCGCCTCAACAAGCCGGGGCTCTAAGAATCACGAAGCTTCAAGGCAACCTTCAACGGACGCGACCGTTTTACTCGAACAACTCTCACCTCGTCCTAAAGCCCTCCAGAAGCTTAAAGCTTCAAGAAGCACACACCACAAACTCAAACAGGTTGTGGCTGCCAGTAAACGAGCACACCGGCTGCCAGCTAGCTGGCAGTCAAATAGCCTACCAAGGTTAAGCGCACCCAGCTCAAAGCCCCGGCCCTTCTGCTTTGGTCTTTGTTGGAAACTGAGGTGTCCTTACTGAACCAACACAATTTAACAGTAAAATCGTGACAAGTCCTTTATGCCAAACAGGTTTTGCAACACCTCATTACTCCAAGTGCAAAGCGGTTGGACCCTAGGTATACCAAGTGTTCGAGGTTTTCCTGGCCAAAAAGATTTGGCTGGCTATACTTTGACGGGTTTTCCTGGCCAAATGGATTTGGCTAGTCAAATTGTGACGGGTTCTCCCGGCCAAATGGATTTGGCTGGTCAAACTGCGACGGGTTTTTTAAAAAACCCATCACATTTTTGGTGGCCAAATCCATTTGGCTGAGTGGTTTTGCTCAGAAAACCATCACAATCTGGAAGCTCGGCTGGCCCCAGAAAAGCGATGGGTTTTAAAAAACCCATCACAATTCCATGTGTTTTGGAAAACCCCATCACTTTTTGAAGTTGGGGATGAGCTGGAAAGTTTGACGGGTTTTCGTTTTCCGTATTTAATTGCGACGGGTTGTTCAAAAACCCCATCACATTTTGGGGCTGGGGCCCCGGTCTGAAACGCGACGGGTTTTCCCGGCCAAATCAATTTGGCTGGCAAAATTGTGACGGGTTTTCCGTCTCCAACTCATTCATTCCTGCAAGGCCCCATTGATCGAGCTTGGCCGGGCGCAAGGCACTGAAGCTTCGGGCGCACATTGCACCTACAAGCTTCAGGGGGTTGCATCCGACTGCTCCAATTAGAATCTTCCAATCCAAGATCGTTGAGTCTCCGCTCCTGAGCACCAATACAAGGTAAATGTCAAACCGACAAAGTTTCGCGTCCAAGCTGGGCATGTTGAGCAATCAGCATATAAGCGCAGTGGTTGGTGCTTCCAGCTGGCTCAGGCAATCCTCGGGGCCGCACAGACCTACATCAACAAATGACTCCGCAGAGGGTCGAGAAAGATCTGGCAAATAGTGTGAAGTACGAGTTGGACCTATTGAAGTTGCAACGTCCCGGTCAAAGTCAAGCCTTTCTTTTTGCAGCTCCAACAGGTCCACGTTCTCCATGCAAGTGCTTTAAAAATCTTGAAGCGAAAGCTCTATCAAAATGTGGCGCAAAACTTTTGAAATAGTGGTGCTTGGCTGTGGCGCCAGAAGTGGTGGATTATGTTCGTGGTTGTGAGGAAGGAGATGGTCTCTGCAGACTCTTCACACGTAACGTCTCCATCATCATCATATCTCCACGCTGGCAAGGCTGCCCACTGCGAAGAAATCTAAATTCTTGAAGTTCCATGACTGTATATATAGGTCAGTCTTGAGTGTATCAGGCGCATGTGGATGTTGCCTCATTCTTAGAGCTCTTTGCTCCCAAGCAGGACCAAATAAACTACATGGCTGTGTTACATGCTTTTAACGGAGCCAGCAAGAAACTTGACAACAAGGTTCTATTCCAAATCAAACACCCACTTGCTATTTGGAAGACACCCGGTTCAAGCTAGATGAGCCTACAGATATACACATATTTATAGACACATGTGATAAGGGTGGCGCTTAACCTAGGGGGGTAGCATGTATGTATATACATATATATATATATATATAGAGATACATATCGGCATGCGACATGGTCCAGCTTTCTTTTTTGAAACATCTGCGCCTTAACTTCGCAGAGTAGAGGCAAATGCTCTCCTGATAGGCCTCCAAGATCCCTACGACGCTGGCAGAGTGAAGGATCGCCAGCGATTTCTTCTCGTCGATGTGGTCTGGACGGGCGGCCTCCTCCGTGCAGGTCAGTTGCCAGCCAACCGGGTTGCGCGGATCCACGCAGTGAAACCTCTCGTTGTGATAGCCCTGAGATGGAGGGTCGACCGTTCGCAGATGATGGACTGGTCGGGCTTCAGCTTTTGGCCCATCCCTAGATCTCAGACGTCTTCGAAAACAACGAAGCTCCAGTGGAGTCGAAAAACCAAAGGTCTGCTGAGGCGGGACGAAATGATGGAACTCCGCTGGACAACATCTCCACGTTTCAGGACACGAAGCCAAAGATTGAGTCCATGGATGGTTTCGAAAAGAACCCATCTAACCATATGTATATTGTGTATCAAGTGAATCAAGTGTATCATGCGCCTTTCCTTTCTTTCCGCCCCAACCTTCCGTGAGAACTCCGCCAGGCATCCTTCGCGTGGTAGAACTTCGGTGGATGCTGATTCCACGACCGGACCCAGTCTCCGAAGCTCGGCAGGTTGAAACCTTCTTGACCCGGCGCAATGCCACGCCTCTCCAGTGCTTTGATCTCCAGGGGCCCTGGCTGTAGGCATTGATGGTAGATGGACAAGAGGTGGTCTTTCGGACGGCGAAGCATCAGCGCCGTCTTTCCAAACCTACGAGTTGAATGAAGAGCATTATCAACCCTGAAGTCTTCCCGGAATAGCAGCTCTAGCAGAGGCCAAGAGTGGATATGTCATATATGTCAGAGAAAAGAACAAGTAAGAGCATGTAAGACTGAGTAAGACCTATGCCTATATCAAACAAAACCTGACGCAAAAAAGACATGTCTCGACGCAAAAAAAACCAAGAAACCTGGCTTTGGTAGATTTCTCCCAGCAGACCTGTGCCGTCCAGATGTTGTCTCGGCCCACTAGCATGGAGAGGTCTCCTACTAAGGAGCAGCCTGCGATCTTTCCGATGTGGAGGAGGAAGATCTCACGATCAACGACGTTATTGGTTCCATTCCAACACCAGCCAGCCTTGGAAAGGAGGATGAACGAAAGGAGAACGAAAGGAGACAAGTTAGGTTGATGACCTTCAAGCGTTCCTTGAGGTCCACCCTTGCTAGTGCTCCGTTGAGATTGAACCCACAAAAGCAGAGTGTATGGTCATCCGGTCATGGTTCCTTCCTGTTAACATGGTGGCTTTTGTCACTTGGCCCGATTTCAGGACCTGACCCAGAACCAGGTGGATTCAGTGGATTCTCAGGGTCCGAAAGCGGCTCCGACTTCGGGCTTGGCCCAAAACCTCTTTCCTCGACAAGCGAAACCTAAGACCTCCAAGACCGACCCACCCCACGGACCGCGGGGGCGACCGGCAACGCCACTCTCGGGGCGACCGGCAACCAACGCCACTCGCTGCGGAGATGAGTCGCCCACTTCGATGCATTGAGCTGCTGAACCACCTCTGACGGAGCCTGGCGAAACTGGGTCTCGTGCTGCTGGAGCAAGGAGCAGTCGGCAGTGTCCGCACTCGCACTGGCCAGACTGACGACCAGAGGTAGATGTAGAAAGCCAACTGT